GAAGAACTCACCAGTTCTTGACCAGTGGGATATCAAGAGCTCTGCGGGTCCTCCCAGACCTCAAGTTGAAGGGCCGTGGTGCCCACAGCAGGGCAATGCCATTGGCTGTGTTATCTGTGTAGAGTGGGGTATCCTTCAGGAAAGGTTCCACAAACTCTGGCAGTTCAAACTCCTCATCGTCGTCAGGCAGCGGTTCCTGGCTCTGAAATTCAGAAGCACCAAACGTGTTTCCTGGTTGCTTCAGCTCAGTTTTCTCAGTTAACCAAGCAGAAAACAATTCTCTGCTCTCATGGAAGTGCAAGTGCTGAGTATCAGAGAAGCAAAAAGCACTCAAGGCAAACTCTGGCTACTAGACCCTGAGGTAGGTGCTACAGAAATAACTCCAGGGAGATGTTGGCTCCATGAAGGTTACACAAGGGTAACCAAAAATATAAATGACCTGTCAGAAGACTCTAAAATAATACTGTTAATTAGGCATTGTGCTGCTACCAGAACCAAGGTTACAAACAAGATACTAAAGCCCCATCACCTCCTCACCGTAGGTTTTACTACAGGCTCTCCTCTTTACTACAGGGCAGTGACTCACCTTGACAGAATGTCTATGTGAAATGGGGTTGATCAGCGGATCGAAGTAAAAAGCTGGGAGATCAGGATCTTCTGTTTTAATGAAAACGACGTTTGGAGTGTGATACCTACAACACAAAACACACATTAGAGCATCCTGACAGCCTCCCCCTCCTCTCTCCAGGCTCTGGAGGCTGCTGCACTTACCAGGTGAGGTGGACATGGTGTGGCAGGTTATTGTACAGGTACGGGAAAGCAATTTTGTACTCTGTCCTGATCGGCTGCCTGATGATAATTTTGTTGATGTCATTGAATTCATTCCAGTCTTCATCCCTTAAATGAGAGAAAAATATACTGTTATACAGGCACTGAGGTGGACAGAGAGGCAGTCTGTGACTGATAACCTAGATAACCACTGATCTCTCTCCTAAACCAAACACTTACTGAAGGTTGATGTCTCTAACGAGGGGCTCAAACTTGGGACCCCCAGGAATAGCCATGTTCAGTGCCTTGGAGGTGAAGAACGCTTTCAGGTCAAACAAGTAGAAGTAGTTGTCATCCACAAGGTCAGTAAGCAGCTGGTTGGCCAAGCGGTACAGGGTGGACATCATGGGCAGGGTGAACTGCCAGCGCTGGTAGGTCGAACCATTGACATACCTGTGAGGGACAAAGCACGGACATCCTGTGTGCAGAGCACAACTGGGCCTCTACCAAAGCACCAGGAATAACCCTCACTTGTGCAAAATATCAAAGACAGGTAAGCACATGGGCCCCTCTAGCCTGAACGAAAGGCTGCAGGACTGTTAGAGAGCACTACGGACTCCTTCTGCCCAGAAAATGCCAACTGCTCCAGTTCCTCTCCTCCTCCATGTCCAAACTGGTACAGAACATCCATGCACCTTCAACAAATGTCAATTTCAAATTCCAACTAGACAATCCAGGTTGTCATTTTTATGGCATGGTAAGGAACATCAGTTCTAGTAGTTAAGTGGGCAGCAGCCCTCCTGGGCAGAGGGGCCTCTTTTGCCCTCACTGGATGATGAATCATAGAGTGGTTTGGATTGGAAGGGACCTTAAAGCTCATCTTGTTCCAACCTCCTGCCATGGGCAGGGACTCCTTCCACTAGACCAAGTTGCTCCAAGCCCCATCCAACTTGGCCCTGAACGCTTCCAGGGATGGGGCAGCCACTGCTTCTCTGAGCAACCTGAAGACGTGAGGTAACAGCTTTACAACAATCAGGTTCTCCCCACCAACACCCCACGCAGCTCAGCACAACACAACCAAAGGTTACACGCTGCTGTGCACGGGTAATCCACGGGGTGTGTTTGGTTCTGCCCCCTCCCACTGAACTGTGCTACCAGAGCCACGTACTTCCTGTTGTCCTTCAGCGGCTGGTGGTCGTAGAACCAGTCCAGCACAGGGGCATCCTCCTCGGGATCCAGCTCGAGCTGGATCGCTTCCAGGGGCTCCACATCCAGGATGTTATCAGCGTAATCCAGAGGGGGCTCCTCATCATCGAACGGGGGGAATCTCATCCTCTTGAAGTGACGCCTGTCCCTCTTCTCCCGCCTCATCATGATCCACATCGACCTGCAGGAACACGGAGAGGGTTAAACGGGGCTTTTAGGGTGGATGCACAAGAGTCTGTCCCTCCTGGATGAGGGGAGAAGGCACCTACCCCCACTGAGCAATGTAGACGGGCTCGATGACCCAGGGGATCTCGTTCACAAAGGAGATGGCCCCGGTGATGTGGTACAGGACGGGAACGTCTCGGATTTGCTCCCAGGGCATCGGCATGTTCTCCAGGAGCTTCAGCACAGCGTGGGGCATGTACTTCAGGGCTCTACAGGCAGAAATCAAGGGAAAACAGGGTTGGAATCGATCTTGAGAACAGCCATCCCGCCACAAACCTTCACACCTTTCCCTCCTGCACGCTGCTCATCCGACCTGTTCACAGAGGCTCCCAGTGACAAATCCATGACCCTCCTGCTCTATCCTTAAATCCATGAGCTTCCTGCTCTATTTTTGTGCACTGCACTATCAAAGATTTTTCTACTGATTCAGTTTCCAAGAATGTTACAAACAAAAAGTATGTTAGCTACTTCAAACTCTCTCTCAATGTCTTGAAAGACAATGTATTACCCAGAGTAAAGCTTTTTCTCATAAATGCAAAGCAACAACTCTCTTTGCTGATCCTCTTCTGCACTGATACCTCAGGGCAACAGAAGAGCTACAACTAACATGGAAGAACCCTCTGGGGAAGGGTCTCTCCCTTTAAACCATCAACAAGGAGCTCTGACGAGGCGTCAGAGAAGCATCAGAGGAGGATGCCCTCGGTTCCCCGGGGCGGGGGGGGGTCCCTTACCCCAGGTAGACGCGCTTGTCGTGCCGGAACTTCCTATTGGTCATGTCGCCGTGGTCGCGGATGATCTTCCGGACGTGCTCGGGGGGCATGTCCTCCTTCTGCGCGTCCACGAACCCGAATTTCCTCTTCTCCGCATAGCGCTTGGCCTGCAGCTGCTGCCACTTGCGGGCTGCGGGGACACAGAGCGGCTCAGGGCCTGTTCCTCCCCAGAGGGGAGGCTCTGGGGCGCCGGACCCGTACCCACCTTTCTCCTGCAGCTTCTCCTCGGACATGTAGTCGGGCAGTGGCGCCAGCGGGCTGGGCACCGGGGCGCAGCCGCCGCGGTACGGGAACACGGCGGCCATGGCGACGCACCTGCGGGGACGGCGGAGAGGGGCTCAGCGCGAGCTGCGGGAACGCCGCGGGGCCGCCCCCCGGCCGCTCCCCCACCCGCTCCGGGCCCGCCCCGGCCCCGCCGCCCCCGCCCTCCCCTCACCGGCGGCCGCGGCCCCCGCGCTCCCCTCACCGCAATGGCGGCCCCGCCGCCGCGCCTCGCAGACCCGGATGGGGGCGGGCCGCGCGCTGCCCAATCAGCTCTCGGGCAGCTTGAGAGACAGCGGGAGAGACCTATCAGAGAGCAGAAAAGGTGCGCGGGCGGGACTGAGGGCGGAAGAGGCGAGGAGTCGGGGTCCCGCCCTCCGCTGCTTCCGATTGGCGGAGGGAGGCGGCGGTGACAGCGCGACACCGCCTCTGATTGGACAGCGCCCGGCTCGTCACACCCCGCCCCGGCGGTAGGGGGCGCTGTGCGCGGCCCGGGGAAGGGGGGGGCGTGTGGGGCCGAACCCCCCCCGTGAGAGGGGGATGGGGGGGGGGACCCTCTGGGGACATCCCGGGGACATCCCTCCTGGGACAGTCCCCCTGTCCTGGGGGGGATATCGGCCCGTGGGATGGGGCTGAAGGGGCGGTGAGTGGGTGGCAGGCTGGGGTGTTGCTCCCTGACAACTGATTCCCGGATGGAGATGCTCCCTGATGATCCCCTGAATGGGAGGAATAGAGGGGTAGGCCCTTCCCAAAACCCTTCAAGCCACCCATCAGGGTGGACAAGCACAGGGTATCCCCACGTCCCCAAGCTGCTGCTTGTTCCACCTCAGCCCTGTGGGGAAATCCTGGTGGCTCAGAGGCTCCCAAAACAGGCTCCCCAGTCCCCACGTGCCCGGGGTTCACAACATCCGCATGACAGCAGGAATGCGGCAGCACAATCCAGGCCTTGAGAAACTTCCCTGGTGTGGGCAGAGAGCGGAGGGGCAGGGGCAGCGTTCTGAGCGGAGCAGCTCCTGCAAAACTGGGCATAAACAGGTCAAACCAAACACCCGGATGAGAATTCCGCTCGAGCTGGGAGCTGGGAGCGGCACATGGGCACCTAAACACTGCTTAAGGTGACAAACCCGAACGTGGAGTAGGTGTCTGCAGCACCTGGAAGCTTTCCCTGTGCTCTCCACGAATAGAAACATAAGCGGCTTTGGCCGTGCATTGTCTCCCACTGCCCATGGATCACTCGTCTTTTCCCTGCCCAGCAGGAATGTTTCTCCCTCCTCAAAAATCCTCTCCTGAGCAGTGCCTTGTGCCAGCCTGTCCCCAAGCTTTTCGAGCCAAATGAGGGAATTTGCATTAAAGCTTATTTGCCACGCAGGAAACGCGACTCATCCAGTGGATTTCTCCAAGCTGGTACACGTAACTCCAAGTGGGATAATCTCGTTACATACACAGGGCTGAGCTGCCAGGGAAAAGTTCAGTGTGTGAGAATCGGTGGGGAACGGGAAATGTGGAGTAAAACACATTTAAAAATTCTGATTCCTTGTCTTAGGGAGCCTCCAGGGACAGGCAGAGCAAATGACACGGAAGTAGTGACGCTGTGCTGGGTCCTGCTCTGGGCCCCTCAATTCAGGAAGGACACTGAGGTGCTGCAGCATATCCAGAGAAGGGCAATGGAGCTGAGGAAGGGTCTGGAGCACGAGCTGAGCAGTAACACCCCTGGAGGGGGTTGGGATGCTGAGTCCTTTTTTCCTCTAAGTCCCTTCCCCTCAAGCCATGTCATTTACAGCCATTTATTAAAAGCTGGTGTTAGTAAGAGCCTTTGCTGGTGGGTAAGTGTTACACTGGGCCCTGCAGTACAACTTGTCATTTCTAACAGATGTCTAAATCCTAAAGGTGCCTATGCCTGAGAACTCCACATCTGAAAACTCCACAACATCATCCTTCCAGCGACTTGCGCTCTCCCACGCTTCTTTAAGGGCACTTCAACTATGTGGGACAAAACAACACGAAAAAATGTTCAAGTTTTCAGGAGAGGATGGTGCTGTAGCACCCACTGCCCAGTGTTTTCCCCCTGACCTGGACAACACCGTGGATAGCAGCCCACCCAGCCAGGTCTCAGCCTCTCCCTCCATCACCCACCTGGGACAATCTCCTTGGGGAGGGCCCATCAGTGCAGGATTTGGCTTTTACTGGCCTCGAAGGCCTGCCTTGCCTGGTGGTGCTCCCATGGGAAGTGCCACAAAGGATGCAGTGTCCCGTGACCGATGGGACACTGGGGGCTGCGGCACTGATGGGGTTAGAAACACGCTGTGGTGTCTGGATGTCCGGAGGAGCAGTGGGGAAGCAGTGCTCCACTGCTCCCTTCTCATCTCAGCGGTGCCCTCGGGAGCTGCGAGAGCCGTCGAGGCTTCTCTGAGCAGCTCCCGCTTGTTCAGCCACGTCATCCGAAGGTCTTTGGGGAGCAGAGCCAACAGTGCCTGTTCCACGAGCACCTTCTCTGCCGGGCAGGGCCCAGCACCTTCAGCCACGAGAAAAGCCTGGCTGCTCTGTTAGTGCAGACCCTCCACACGAGGTACTGAAACAGCCACGTTCACCCTGCCCTGCGCTTTGCTGTGGGTTCAGAGCAGCTCATCCCCCTGACCCCGCAGGGAAGGGGTGGGGTGGGGGGTTATTTCTCCTTCTCCCGCTGCACATCCCGGCTGGATTTGAGGAAGTCACTCCGCAGCAGGCGGTAGAAGAGGATGACGTTCATGGGTGTCATGATTGCCATGCCCACCGTGCCCACCGCGTAGGTCGCCGGGGGCACGTTCTGCCGATTGAGGAAGAGCCAGCGGGTCATCCAGGCCAGCGTGGCGATGCGGAACACCACGTAGGTGCCCAGGTTGACGATGCTGTTGAGGCGGTAGCAGGTGGTGTGCACCAGGTTGGCCATGAGCAGGATCTGCCGCAGGTGGAGGAAGATGGAGTTGATCTCCACCAGCAAAGCCACGAGGGCGAAGCCGACGTACTGATGGAGCAGCACGGCAATTCCAAAGCAAACAATCACCTGGGAAGGAGGAAGAAGAGAGGCCGGTTGCTCTCAGCTACGGCCAGCTGGAACCTTCTAGGCTGGGGCACAGCGTGGAGCAGAGGTGGAAAGGATTATCACAGCAGTGCCAGGCCGCTGGTCATCAACCCACACATCTCTGCAGCATCAAAGCCTCTGGCCAGTGCTGCAGCCTCAGGCATAAAACAAAACTTCCCCAGTGTTGCATGAAATCTGAGTGGTTTTTTTGTTCCAGAGGGAGGAGAAGGAAAACAATTCTATAAGCCCCAGGTTGGCAAAGGAGACAAAGCAGCCTGACCTAACCCTGGTTTTATGGCCTAGGGAATGCAGCTGGGTGTGGCCCAGCAGGTTTTTCCACACACAGTGAATGGGCAGGAAGGGAGACGTTTAGCCCAGGGCTACAGTTGGTGCTGGCTCTGGGATTCTCCCGGGCATGCTGAAGGGATTAAGAGGCTTTGGTGTATCAGAGAGCCCCGTGGGATGCCCTGAGGGTGGCCTGAAGCACCCTGGGTGCTGCAGCAGAGGACAGGGCTCTTGCAGGCAGAGCGGTGATTCCTGCCCTGCACCCTCCGTGCCAGGCAGGGGGCCGGGCTCTGCCTGCCCACGCTCCAGCACACTCAGTCCTTTCTTTGGTTTATGCCATTAATGCTGTTCTCTGTACGGGCTCTGTAATGAGATTATCTGCTCCCCGTTAAGTCACTGTCTTGGCTCGAATTAACTCTATTGTGGAGATGAACTTTTGGCTCACTGGGCTCTGCGAGAGAGCAGGTCTGACCGCTGCCTCCCCTGTCTCATCCCAGGTAGGTCTCACCACTGTTCCTGTCCCCCACCCCAGGCTTTGCACACCCCCGTGCCTCCCCTGTACCCTGCAGCATCTCTGCTGCTCAGCCACCCCCCTGCCCTGCAGCACCCACAGTCTTAGAATCATAGAATTGTTTAGGTTGGAAAAACATTCCGGCATCTGGACATCAGAGGTGATCAAAGAGAAAGCCATGTTGGGTACAGCCAGAAGGCACTGGTGTGGGGGGTCCTGCACCACAGCTGCTCCAGCCACCCCAGCCCCAGATGATGGGAAAGCACCCCGGGGAGCAGGAGGTGGAAGGAGGGGCTGTGCAGCCCTCCCTGGCAGATGTTAAAGTGGCCAAGAGGCAGTAGGAGCTGTGCTGCCAGTGGGCACACCTGGGTCACAGCCTGACCACGTCACTGTAATGCATCAGCCCCCCAGCCCAGCCCTCTTCTCCCTAAGCTTTGTACTTGTGTTCTTTTCCTACCCAGTCCTTGGGTGTCTTTCTGCAGATCCTCAGAGTGTGTGTGTCCTGCAGTCTGGGCTCCTCTCCCCAGGCAGAAAAATCTGTCAGATTTTTGTAACAGGCAGCAAATACCCACACTAACAACAGCAGGAGCCCCACTCATGTCCCCCAGCCCCAGCCTCCCTTGTGGTATATGTGCTGGTGAACTCACCACAGAGTGATGGAAGAGCAGCTCCCAGGATTGGTGAAGTTTCTGATTGCACAACATGTCCACAAAGTCTTCAAGGAAATAACCTGGAATAAGAGAAGCCATGAGCAAAGAAAGGGGCCAGGAAGGGCTGTGCCAAGGGACCCTCAGGCCACAGTGGGCTCTGCACCTGCCTGGGCTGGGCAAGCCCTCTGGGGAAGTGATGGCCACAGCTGTGTGGGTGGTGAGTCACACACAGAGCAGGATTACACACAGCAGCAGAAGGAAATCAGGGCGGTTTGGGCCCCTCTTGCAATCACTCTGTAGGACATGCCTCCAGGAGCAGGCACTAACTCCACCAACACCATATGGGCATCTTTGGGATGCCCCAAGCCCTGGCTGCCCCCCGAGGGCAGTGTGGGCAGCCTGGTGCCCAGTACCTCCTGGCTGCGGCTGCCGTGGGACAGAAAGGAGCCACTGTCCTTTGCAAGAATAGGGCGATTGTCTGAGGTGCCTGAGGCATCGCTGCCCGCGACGTGGCTTGAGGGGCTGGTGTCAGGCACCGACGAGCCCCGGGAGACCCCCCCCGGGGGGCCAGAAGAGGGGGAAGCCCACTCTGCCCACCTCACCTACAGACACGGCGACCAGGCTGTGCGCCCCGGGCGGGTGTGTGCCCACCAGGTCCTTGGACATCTCGGGGTGGAGGTAAAACCTGCGGAGAAGGAGCTGTGAGTGATGGGCAGTGCCTCTGGTTCCCCAGTTCCTTGCCAGTGCTCACCTTGTGCTGCTGGTCCCGTCCCGGAGCGCTCCTTTCCCGCTGGTCCACCCATAGTCGCCTCTCTCCTCGTTTCCCCTGGAGTCTCCTTATCCCCTGCTGTTTGGTGCCTCGCTGTCCCTCGGACCTTCCTCCATCTCTCAGTGCCCCCCAGTCTCCGGGTCCCCACACTCCCCACGGTGCCCCCATTTCTCCCCGGTGGGCTCAGCCTCCCTCGGTGCCCCCACGGCCGCAGGTTCCCGTCGGGGTCCCTCGACATCCCCACTGCCCTGCAGTGCCCCGGTCCCCCGCGGTGCCCACCCCGGCCCCAGGTGCGGCTCACCCGGCCAGCGCCCCGCCGCCGCTGAGCACGCTGTGCGCCAGCGATGTCCAGATGTTGCGCCACTTCCAGCGGTTGCGCCGGGCCGAGGGCGGCGGCGGCACCAGCCGCTCCAGCCCCCGGTTCAGCAGGCGGAAAGCGGCGAAGGAGCCGGCCACCACCAGCAGCCCCGGGCTGAAAGCCATGGGCATCCACCGGCCCGCTGCCAGCCCCGGGCTCCCATGGGACCGGCCGCGCTGCCCGATGGGCTCTGCCTCGCCCAGCCCCGGGACCCGCCCCGGGCACCGGCACCGCCCCGGGCACGGGCACCGCCCCGCCGGTCCCGCCCTGCCCCGGCCGGGACGCGCATCACCCCCGAGGGGAAGGGCCGGGGGGCTGCGGGGGCCGCCCCGCTGCCGGCACTGGCAGATCCCGCATTCCCCCGGGCAGGGAGGCGGACACGCAGCGGCAGCGCTTCCCCTCGGGAAGTGGGACAAGAGGAGCCGGGATACGGGAATTAAGCCCCCGGGGGTGCGTCAGCCTTCCCCGGCATCGCACGGCAGGAGCGGCGCCAGCCCAAAAGCCGGCTGGGAGCGGGGCACGGAGCGGGGCACCCGTGTCCTGTCGCTGTGCGGGAGCTGGGCACGCTTTCCTCGTTGCCCTGAGGTTCCTCCCACACCTCGGTGACACCGGGTGGCCGAACGTCTCACCCGTGAGGTGCTGCGGCCGCGTCCTTCACCCCAAAGCATCCCCGGCAGGTGATGCCCGTCACCGTCATCGTTTCTTTGGGCTGGGGCTTTCCAAAACTCTCACCCTGGGTCAGGATCTCCACAGGACACACCACCTGATCGCACATAAAGCAAGGAAAAAGATCTGATTGCCCTGCTAAAAAAATGCTCTGCCCACAGCCTTGTTATCCCCTATCCCCCTGTCCCATGTCTGGTCACCAGAGGAGCTCCCCAATGCCTGGGATACCCCAGCTCCACCGCCTGGGGATTGTGGGAATTCACGATCCCGTAGCCACAGTTTTAGTTCTACCCTACAACTACGCTGCTTTTCCAGCTTCCCGTAATTTGATCGCTCCCCTGTTGCTTTTTGATGTCTCCACCAGAAGCTGCTGCACAGCCCTCGCTGCCATTCTGCAGACCGGATGAGTCACCGTGTACACACCGATTAATGTCAAACTCTGCCTCTCCTCTGAGGTATTAATTTTGGATGAAATCTTCTACTTCCTCTTTGCTGAAAGAGAAACGTGTGGTGCCTGAGCTTTCAGTCGCTGTCCTGGCTCTGAGGTGACGGACACTAAAACATCTGCGAGTAATTGCACCGAGGAGGGGCGTGATTAAATCAGATCAGGAGAGGGGTGAGGTTCTTTCCCAACCTAAGCGATTCTATGACAGTCTCAACTGATAGGAAAGCATCTGTTCATGCTGCAGAAATTTGCTTAAAAGCCGAGCAAGACAATGTAATTTCATAACAGTTACATGGCAGGGAGACACTGCCTGAAGTAATCTGCAGCCCTGAGTGCTCAGGGAATTATAAGTAATCTCGTGATGAAGGATCACGTAGGCTAATCTGTTACTGAGAAGACCAAATGCAAAGACATTTCTATTTAGCATATGCTGAGGAAAGAGAGACATGCCTTGGAGACATGCTGGGCTGCTCAGGGCACCGAGGAGAAAAAAATCATTTCACAATTAATTGAGTATAAAATTGCAGAGAGCTGATTTCCGAGTGGGAAGTCATCTGCAGCACTTTAGCCTCAAAATTGTCGACTGTCCTTTTCCGTGGAGACAGCCCTGCCCTTCACCTGCCTGCAGGGAAAATCCCAGACCGTGGAACACCTGAAAGCCCGTCCCCATTTGCCCCAGAGGCTCCTCCATTTGCAATGTTGTTGTTCTAAAGGTGAACGTTGGCCAGGCTCGGATCAGGAACAGGAACAGTTAAAATGTTTCTGCAGACTGGAGAGCTTTTACCTACCACTTCTGCATGGGAGGAATTTAAGCCGTGATTAATTGAGCCTCTGGTTCAGGGACTTTGATCCCACTGCTGGAGCACTGGCAACAACTACACACAGACTACTTTTTGGATCGTTTTAGCCCAGATTTTACTTAATTTTACCAGGACTTCCCACTGAGCTGTGGTTTCTTGCGAGCCGTGTTTCCAGCCTTTTCTCCTTGTCTTCCTTCCTCTGCAGCAATGGCATTAACCGGGGGCGGTTTTGGAACCGGAGGCTTCCAAGCCCAGTTACAAACAAGTCCCTTGACACCAAATCAGGCCAAATATTCAGCCACATGCCACAGGCTTGTCGTCCAGGCTTGTCCCAAAGGAACCCGCAGGGAAGAGCGGGGACGCGAGCTCCGGAGCTGCCACAAGAGGTCCCTGCACGCCCGCTGGAGAACTGGGAGCCCCATCCGCTGGGATTCTTCATTCACACCTTATTTGGAGATACTGCCTTTTTCACCCAGATTTCGAGAAGTTTTCCGAGTGTCCCCAAATGACCTCGTTTTCTGCAGAGAGGCAGCTCAGCCTGGTGACGGGGTCGCTGCTGCTGCCTGTTCCCAGCAGGGCAGGGGACTCCTTACAGACACCTGGGCAAGGATGTGCCCAGGTCCATCCCAGAACGCTGCAGGAACCACAGCTAATCCCATAGCGGGGCTTCCCAGCAGCATCCAGGGTGTAAATCGAGGGGTACAGCAATTTTTTCCATAGCTGATCACTGGCTTTTGTCTCCCCTCTCCCAGGCTGAAGTTTCTCTGCAGCACATTTGAGAGAGAGAGAACCCATTTTCCACAGTAAAGAGCCATTAGTTTAGTGATAACTCCCCATATGAATTCCACTGCACAAACTGTGCCCCCCTCAGATGCTCCCCACTACTCCTGGATGGGGGTTTGGGTGTACTTTTGCAGCTCCATCACCCCTTACACAGGGAGGAGCCCCCTCTGCTCCCAAACATCATCCAGGGTTCTCCACAGCCAGCAGATGTGGGAGCTTCTGACAAGGCAAAAGTTATGCTCCTGTTTTTGGAAAGCCTCATTCTCTTAATCTGCCTCTCTGCACCCAGGGAGTCATAAAGCCCATCTGCTCATCTAATGCCAGACCTGGCTCACACCTGAAATAATTTGAGGAGTCCAAGAGCTCAAAACAAATCAAGCAGCTTGGCTTCCAAACTTTAATTAGCTGTTGTCTCCATCCCTCTCTAAATTGTGTAACCACTCTGTCTGCAAGGCCATAGGAAGTCAGATGATATGGGAATGCTTTTCTTGATATATCCACATCTTTCTTCCACACTTATGAAAGGATCTACTGTGCAAAATGCATGTTCTACGTGGCAAAGCATGCCCAGGCATTGCAGAGGCAGCTGTGAAGAGAGCTGAAATCAGTGCAAACTTGAGCATCCACTCTTTCCAGCCAGCAGCACCTTCCTGATGTGGAAGCTGGATATTCTCCAGGTGGAACTGGGGATATACTTGCCATGGACACAGGAGAAAGGGATTTCAACCTCTGTGAGTGTGGTGAGCAGCTCCAGGATCTAATGCAAGAAATGCCAGGGTGTTCATCACTTTACCACTGACCTCAGGACTTGAACTTGTCTGGCAGAAGAAACCCCCTGGCCTTGCACCACAGCCTGTCCATTCACCCTGTCTGTGAGCTCCAGTTCTCGAGGGAAGGCTCTTCCCTTCCCAGTGAAGAAGAAACCTGTGTCAGCAGCACATCCCTGAGGATGCTCCAGGCTCAACTGTTTCTCAAGGGCTTGGGCTGGACCAGCTGTCATGATCCAGTGGCATGAAGGATGAGCTCTCTCCTCACTCCAGTTGCACAGGTGTGCCACGGGATAAAAAAAATTCCATTGGCAGACGCATTGACTGCCAAAACTCCTTCAAGCACAGCAGGATGGGCAGATCCTTACAGTCTTCCTCTGCTTTCAGTAGATGACATGCCCCAGATTCATCTACTTTCTGAAATGTTTATCTTCTGCTATTAGTAAGGTTTCAGGTTCCTTCTTTCCTCGTGGTGGGGCCAGGTGTCTGCCAGCCCTGTATCCCCTCTCTCATCATTGCCAGACACAAATGCTTAGGAAGAGAATGTGAAACACCTCGTGTAATTTACCCTATAAACAAATTCACTCCCACTAAATATTTCTTTTCCCTTGTCTTCTTTCCTCGTGGGATAAACATTTTTTACCTGTTCACCGGTCTCAAGCTCAAGTAATGTTTGTTGAATATGCATGTGCTTTGAGGTTACATCATGATATATTCATGATTACATGGGGGTTTTTTGCATTCCAGACAGGTTCAGAATGAGTCCTCTGAGGTGGAAGCATGTCCCAGCCTCTACACCCACTTCATGCAGCATTATACCTTGCTGAGCCCACTCAATTCCTCCTGTGTTACAAACATAAGCACAGGAGCTTCCTAATGGCATCTCCTGCTGCTGCCAGCTCTGCAGCTTGGAACAGGTTAGGTTCCCTCCTGAATTCTCTCGTTATTAATATCACAAACCAAGCTGCTCTGAGAGCAGTGCCCCATTAATCATTTTAGCTCTGCTGCAGGTTTCACCTCACTTCCTCTTCCTGCGACTGCACAGTTTTCATATGATTTGACTCTGTGGGTGCTGCTCGTTCAAACTGGCAGGTCTGCCAGGGCAGGGAAGGGCCCTGAGCTGGGTGAGGTGGGGACAGCAAAGGTGGGACAGGGACACACCCACACAGCCACAACTGCTTTACAGCCTGAAAAAATGGGCTACACCAACTGGTGGTAGTGGGGGCTTGAAGGGAGGAGAGTTACAGCCCTTAAATATTCACCTCTAAACTTGAATTTCTGGAGTGCTGACAACACTGGAGAGCAAAAGTGAAGATATCTAATAAAACACCGAGTCATCTCAGCAGTCCATGTGAGTCAGCACCGATGTGGGTGGTAGGTTTGGTCGGAGACATTCGATGCCCACCTGGGTTCTGTTTGCGGTTGAGGGCACCACTTCCTTTTGCTCTCTTCCTTCCTATGTCTAATCCTGATGTGTGTTACAAGCAGAGGTCTAAACCACTCTGAGTAATTACCTCTGGGTTACCTAACAGAGGACCAAAAGATGCTTACAGAGCATCTTCCTGAAAATCTGCCTCCAATCCCATCCCACTGCCTGAATCCCTCGAGGGGACTGTGTGTGCTCCCGAGTGCTGGCTCTCACACACACTAACCCAGCGTCCCTGCAGCCAACCCAAACCTGCCTTCTGACATACAGTGCCCTTTTCCA